ATTCATTTAATTGCAGCATCCTTTTATTCATTATCGATGCAGATGAAACAAAGGGGAAGCCAAAAAGTTTTGTTTTCATTATACATTCTAATGTGTATGCATACATACTGTATGTTTATGGCACACAACTACATACTTCTACATATGGATAAAGTACAGCTGGTGTTTCTTTTCAAGTGCTCAGGTAAATTATTGTCCCCACAATAATCAAATGTACTGTATTAAAAATATTCCTCATTCCTATTGATTTCATGGGATAATTTCTCTGCCACATTTGTTTGAATGTTTCTTGCAATAAATATTTAGTTTGGTGTTAGTTTTCAGCCACTCACCATTTGCAGATATTATATATTAAGAAGGTCCTGACCTGAGTTAAATATTGTCTGAAAATTCTTAATTTTTTGAGGAAGTCCCCTGGCTTTTTGATGGGAAGGAGGTAAAATATGAAAATATTACTTTAAAAAAATAAATAAATTCAGTGCTACTAGTTTCTTTGCTTACTGTTGCTTGCTAAGTAGGGTCACCATCAAGAGCACAGGTGTCAAACTCGATCGTGTCACATGACATATCGTGATGTATTGTGATGATTTTTGCCTTTGTGGAGCTGGAGTGGGCGTGGCTTTGTGTGATACATTAGGCCTGACAGACCTGATCAAAAGGATCACAACCAATGTACTGTATTTTTCGGAGTATGAGACGCACCTTTTTACCCCCCAAAAGGGGGGTAATGTAGCCCTGCCCACCCACTGGCCCCCATCCTTTGGCCTGTGCCTCGCAGCAGTTACCTCCTTGCAAGCAAACAGCAAGAAAAAACAGCCCCTTTCAACTTCAGTATAGGTTAATTAGCACAAGTTAATTAGATCGGCCTCCCAACTCTCAGCTGATTTGCTCTCAGCTGTTTTGTGCAGGGCTCTGCTGCTTGCTCCAAAGAGTGCTGGAGCAGATTTTTTTTTCCCTAGCTATGCTGAAAAAGCAAAACTGAAAGTAAAGCAGGCTCTTTGCTGCCACATGACAAAATGAGGCAGGGAGAGATTTCTTTTTCTTTTTGCTCACCAAAAAAGATAGGTGCAAACAATGGGAAATTTAGGGCAAAAGAGGAGCATTCAAGATTTTAAAACACAAAAGAAAAAAAGCTCTATTTAACTAGGGAATTGTAATAATTGAGATACTATTAATTGTATATTGTGTTGAAAGCAGAAATGGTTAAGTTGTGGTTTGGAGGAATATATGGGGAAAATTATTTGGTTTATTATTATTGGTAAATATAATTGATTTGTAAGAAATTGGATTGCATGGAAATAATTGGAATATTCATGTTTATATTGATTAATATACAAAAAAGATAGTTATAACTAATTGATTTATATAAAAATGTTGAATTTGTATTAAACAATTGTAATATTAAATAATTAACCAATGTGAGAATGGATATAAAAATAGATGACAATGGGAAGGGGTGTAATATAGAATAGAAGGGAAAAATTGAATTTGATTAAAATTAGAGATGAGAATGAAGGGTAATACTGTTTTTTTAAAAAAAAAATAGATGAGGAATAAATATGGCAAAAAGGAAATATAGAAATTGTAAATTTAATTGAAATGACTAAATACTGTTTAAATTTGTGAACCAGCCGAATACTCTGTTCAAAGAAAATACATTGTATGTGTGTTTGTGTGTTTGTCTAAAAAATAAAAAAAACTTTTTTAAAAAAACCCAACCAAAAAAGGTAGGTGCGTCTTATACTCCAGTGCGTCTTATATTCCGAAAAATATGGTAGTTATTTAACACACCACTGTCAGAACTGGCTGAGTAGACATTATTTATAAGGAGCTGAGCAAACACAATTTGAAAAACAGTGTCTCCAATTAGGAATAGGCAAAAAACTTTCTACTGCACCCATAAGGCACACAGATGTAGATAGTTTGTGATGAGAAAAAAAATTGCCTCCACCCATGGAATCTAACTTCTAATGAATTGATTTACAGTGGGGATGTTCCAAATAAGAGCGTATGAAAGCTCTTAAATATAAATATAAATAAGAGCTTGAGATGATTATGTATCAAGCAAGCCCTTTCCTGTAGCATGTAGAACCAGGTTTCATTTGTCTTATGTCCCACATCCTCTGCAAGTATTTTCTCCTTCTGCTGCTGGGCTGCAGAAGGAAAAACCAAATCTGATTATTAAACGGAAAGAAGACCTTCTCGCTTTCCTGTGGAATATGTTTGTAGCTTCAGTTGATTCTTTTTACATCTAGAATGGACAGGTATCACTACTCTTAACCAGCCTTGATGTTTAATTATTGGCATTCTATGCAGCTGAGATTAGTAACTAGAGAACAGACATTACAACAAGTTGGCCCATGAAGCAGTCAAGTCTCTTTTACTGGAAATCTTCAAATAGAACCTGGATGATCATTTGTAGAGATTCTGTAGTGTATCCCACACTGAGCTGGAGTTAGACCCACTGGATCTCTAAGGTGCTTTTCAATGCTATGATTCTATGAAATGGGTGAAAGTTCATGATAAATATGGCCCAACATATCAGAACCCATTTTAAGGCCAACTCTAGGAAATGTTACCTCCTCATAATCAATTTGCAAAGTAACATGTGGACAAAAATCACTTTTATCCACTCTTGCTTGAATGCCAGCCTTTTTTCAGAAGTTAAGAGGAATGTAGGACATGTTTTTTTATTTTATTTAGCAAGTTGTGATTAGCCTGTGGCTTTTTCAATTATTGCCTATTTTATGAAAGAAATGTGCCAGACTGGACTATGGCTTTAGTGGAGATGAAGTACCGGTATTTGTTAATTTGTTAATAGGATAGAACTGAACATGAAAAATGTAGAGAGGAGACAGTATTAAAGCTGATATTGAAGAATTAATATTCACTGGATCTGGAAAATTATTTGTCATGCTTGAATAATTGATTTGGGCCTGTATTACATAAGCTTGTGAGCCTCTTCAACTATAACCAACATAGTTGGTTGGAGTGACTATACCCACTCCATCATCATAACTAAAGGAGTTGTGGGGGTGGGTGAGTTAAGATTATGGTAATTCTTGACTCCTGGCTACTACATGAATGCACCACCCCCATATCAACAATGCATTCACCACTGTTCTGACACAGGCTCCAATCACATCACTGGAGGCTTTCCCCAACTAGGAGGATCAACAATCTAACCCCCCAGGAGAGAGGACAGTCATGAAGGACTCTGTCCACATCCTCTGAACCAACAGACCCAAATACGTCCCAAATAAATACAATAGACTAAGCTTGTCCTTTCTCACCTCACCTGCTCCTTCCTAGGTGGCATCCAATTTGAAAGTATCTATGTATTTTTATCCTACAGTCACCACCAACTCTTCATGGCAGCCCAACAGATGTTTATATGGCCTGTCTTTCCCCCAAAATAAAATAAAGACTTCAAAAATGACTGTGAGTCATTAATCAGAGAACGTAATGAAGGTGGAGAAATACTTTTACCATTCTTAGACCAGAATTTGAGCTCTAGCTGCTCTGTCAATCCAGCTTTTACCTTCCACAGCCCTGGAGCAGAGACTAACCTATGGCCCATGGAGCACATATGATCCCCTGTAGCAAGGTCATACTTAATGTATTGTGGCAGAAACCACAACCAGGAAGCTGAATGTTTGTCCTCCCAGTCAATCTCTCAGCCCAACCTTACAAATTTGTTATGGTGGAGGTGTGATATATATACATTGTCTTGAATTTCTGAAGAAAGGGTGGGATATCAAGAAATTTAAATATCTAACGAACAAACCAGACATTGTTGTTCCATAATGTGAGATAGGAAATCATGCACATTTATTAACAGTTTGCTTGGGCATGTGAACCAGGGTTTGCATCTGGTTTCGCGGTGGCTCAGCAGCTAAGACGCTGAGCTTGTCGATCAAAAGGTCGACAGTTCAGCAGTTCGAATCCCTAGTGCTGCGTAACAGAGTGAGCTCCTGTTACTTGTCCCAGCTTCTGCCAACCTAGCAGTTCAAAAGCATATAAAAATGCAAATAGAAAAATAGGGACCACCTTTGGTAGGAAGGCAACAGCATTCCGTGCGCCTTTGGCATTTAGTCATGCCGGCCACATGACCACGGAGACGTCTTCAGACAGCGCTGCTCTTTGGCTTTGAAATGGAGATGAGCACCACCCCCTAGAGTCTGGAACAACAAGCACATATGTGCGCGGGGAACCTTTACCCTTAACCTAGTTTTCTCCAGAGACATGTTCTGGCATTGCAGAGAAAGCATTCTTGCATCAAACATCGAATAGTACTACCAGTCATTTAACAGCTGTTCAAATTTACAACAGACCTCCCCCCCCCAAAAAAAAGCTACATAAGAGTATTTCAAATTTACGGCAGTTGAAGTACCCTTGCAGTCATTCGCCTTCTGGCTGACCACAGGGACGCTGCGGCACCCCATCTCTCTCCTCCCCCTCCCCCCATCCCTCCCCAGTGGGACCCTGCAGTGCTCAGGCCTGCTGCCCATGTCTCCTGGAAGCAGCCGCCATTTTCAGCACTCCAACAATTCCTTGCATAAATGACGGCTGCTTTCAGAGCTTTTCTGCCCTGCTCATCTAGCCGACTGGTTTGCAGTCTCCCAACTAGTTCTTGCTAGGCTTTGGGGCGGTCAATTGCCTGCCTGCAAAGGCATCAGCTTCAAGATGAGGTTCTCAAAACCTTTCCCTTGCTTAACCTCCTCCCTTCCCCCAAAAAACACATTCCACAATACAAATAGACCTCAACTTACAACAGTTCATTTAGCAACCGTTCAAAGTTACAACAGCACTGGAAAAAAAGGTCCTTTTTTCAGAACCCATGTTTGTCTTCCCCACCTAAGACTGAATTCTTGAAATTACCTGTAGCCTGGTACATCTTCCAGAAGTTATAATATGGTTACCTTAATGTCATTTTTTAAAAGCTGCCATTTAAAAATAAAAGGCTTAAAGTAACATTTCCAATAAACACGGATTTCCTGTGGCTTCTATAATTTTATTTCTAAGAAAATATGATGCAGCACATTTTTGGGCACACAACCTTTTAAAGCATGTTTTACATACCAAAGCTTTTTACAGATTAAATCTTCCGGGCGACAAATATTGCCTTTAAAATGGCACATGCTATAAACAATAGGACAGTAAGGACAAAACAATTTGTGATCACTAATTGAATGAAAATACATCTTATATACAGAATTTACCAAAGTAACAATTATATTTTCCTGTGAAAAAAAATAAATATATGTATATAATGTAACAACTAAATAAATATAAAGATTTACTTTGGAAGTTAAGAGTACAAGGTAAATATTCAACAATTTTTTTCAGAAGTTGGCCGAGCTCAACTCATTCAGGGCTTTCATACTGTGATTTTTCTCAATGCAGAAATTGTATTACTTCCTGTGACTCTAGAAGCCTGGTTATATTTTTAGTCTGTCTCAAAAAATCTCTGTGGCTAGATCTTATAGCATGAATGGAGCTCTCCCTGAAAAGACAGTCTCTAATGTCTCTTGGCATTGGAACACCACGCCTGCAAAATATTGCTGATTTAGAATCTGTCCTTCAAGAGAAACCCAAGTTATAGAAAGTGTAACTCTGCTGATTTAAACTATATGGTCTTGGTGGACTAATAAAGCCAATACTTCTTTTGCTTCAAGTGCTAAGTGCCTTGTTACTGTGTTTTAAAAAATCTAGGTTTGTACATGCATGTCATTCAGCAAGGCAATTAACACATACTCAGTAATTGGTTTATCATTCATATGAACTAATCTTTATTTAAAAAAACAAAACAAACTATCTTACACTGATTTATTTGTATCCCAAGCGAGGATTTCAAAGGGTACTTTGAAAAAAATATTTAAAATTTCAAAATAATTAAGAGAAGAGTGAAAACTTCACTCTTCAATCAGTATAGGAGAAGCACAAATATAAAAGAATTAAGAATCTGCAAAACATTTGTGACTCACTTGCACAATTGTGCTTTGGGGTTGGCTTAGTATCAAAAACTTTCATTTCTGAACTCGTCTTAATTCTATAGGTTTTCTTCTACTGTTACATCAAAACATTCTCACTATTAAAAAGACTGTAGTGTTGTAAGCTTCCCTGATCTGTATCTGATGACAAAGCAACCATTTTCAGGGACACAATCTTCACGTACAGTTTAACATTATATGAGGGAGATTTGAACATAGATACTTCCAGATATTCTTATTCTAGAACTTCCCCAGTTCCTACAGAACAGTAAAGCTACATAGGGTTAACAGGAGTTATGGGGTAGTCTGGTGGGTAACTGCTTTGGAAAAAATTGCTCCAATATCAACTACTTGTATTTCAGCTTTCAAATATCCAAACTTCCACTGGGTTCAAGCTCAATGGAACTCTAGTTAAAGAAACAAAGGATGAAAATTGTGGCTTGTGAGCTTGGCTTGTATACTAACAATAAAATAATTAGCTTAGAATGTCCTTCAAGATCAAATACTGTATCATAGATTGTTAGGAATAAGGATAGTAAACATGAGCCCAAGGCTAACACATATTATACCTAAAATCAATCCAGTACAGTTAGGTTCAGATTATTAAAGAATGTATTTATTTTTTCGATTTATTTATCTAAATGGTGTGAAGTTGGTCAGTAAGACAATCTGGAGCTTTCAACCAGGTTGTAAAAAATGTATGAAGAATCCAGCTGTAAAAAAAAATTCTGACACTAGATCAGAGTAGAGAGAAATAGATTTCTCTACTCATAGCCTTGTGAGAAATTAATAATTTTCAAGACCTGTAGAATTTAAATTCATTTCCTAATTTGGACAGAAATTGACAAATGTGATCAGCTAACTATTGTCTCAACTATGAAAACTTCCTTAAAAATGAGAACGCTTAACACAGTAAAGCAAAATAAAACCTATGAATTTAGAAAAACAGATTAGTTTTATATATCAAGGAGAAAAATATGAATCTAGTAAAACTTTAAAAACATATAAAACTGCCTCTCAATCCAGCCAACAGAATGACAAACTTTTGCATTTCCTGATCTTTATCAGATTCTCAGGAAAGTTGGGGTTTTGTATAGCATCAAGGATTATCATTATGATATCATATTAAAGTGCACATGTTGCATGTTGTGGATTTCATGTAGTCCATGTAGATGTTAATCTTATAAACCTTTTCTAAATTTCCAAGCATGAAGGAGACTTCTTGCAAAGAAGTTCAGACACCTTTCTATTGGTTCCCTTGTTGCAAAGCAATGCCTTGAGGCAGGGCTGTCCAACCTTGGCAACTTTAAGAGCTGAGGACTTCAATTTACAGAATTCCCCAGCTAGCCATGCTGGATGGGGAATTCTGGGAATTGAAGTCCACAAGTCTTAAAATTGCCACAATAAGACACCTCTACCTTGGGGGAAGGCCAAAATACCTATTCATTTTACAAAGGCCAGTATCTCTCCTGGGGTTGGAGGATTGGAATCCTTTCTGGTTTTGAGTATTATTTATATAGAGAATTTGCTTTCCGGTATTTTCTTCAGTGAGGCCTTGTTGCTTTCATGTTCAATTCAGACCCAGAGCAAGAATGAGGATTTTGATCAAGTTTCACAAATTTTGATCCTTCTTCTTGACATCAAAGTACAAAAATGGTAGCAAACAGTTTCAGAGAACAACTTACTATTCTGGGGAGAAGGGAAGGTAATGACTACAATCTCAGCCTTTGCAGCCTTCTGTTCCTTTAAATTCGGGAAGAGGAGGAGTGAATCATTAAATTGCAGCATGTGGACAAGAAAAGTGTGATCATTATAAATCCACTATGCGTGTATGCACACCTAGTTAGAACCCTTCGTTACAAAATATCTTGTGGTTCCAAATTCTGAGAATCCATGAAGAAATATCATTTGCAACTTTAGTCTAATCTACCCAAAATTAAAACATCAGGGCAAAAATTTGTAGCTCAGCTTTCTTCCTGATTGCTAGGTTGTTTGAAATGGTATAGCCCTGCAACAATATTTACAACTGAAATATTCTCTAGGTTATCTACCATTATTAAATCTACTACATTTTATAATAGCCATTCTCTACATAGCATTCTTCAGAATTGCTGGGACTTCAACTTCTTATATTTCAAAACAGCATCCAGTTATAGTCCAAATTGCCCTCCAAACTCCAGGAGGGCACTTGACAGATGAAGAAGCTATACATTCTGCTCAGAGATCCTATGTAATACCAACAGCAGCGTTCGGAATTCAGCATAAGAAGGGGTACATTTTTTTCTAGAGAGTTCTAGATAGTTGTATTTTTCTTCCAATTCAGGTTCAATTCCCAAGCCATCACTACTTTTTCTAGGATCTCGAAAGCTGCACGATATGGAAAAGTTGATTGCTTCAGAATATCCTTCAAAAACAAGTACTGCACAAGCTTTAAGAATAGTGATAAAGAATCACAAATTTCTTCACGATGCAAGGCAGAGAATGAGCTTATGATTGCATAAGCAGATTGGCTTATGAAGGCACAGCTGATTTGAGATGGAATTATCTTAACTGCATAAATGAAGAAGTGAGTAATTCCTCTGGCGAACTCAGAATTTTATTCTTTTTGGCTTGGTTCATTCAATAAGCAGCATATCTCAATTTTGCTTAAAGACTCTTATGGGCCTCATAGCTGAAAAGTTGGTTCCATCTTTCCTTCTGCTGATCATCTGGAACAACCTATGCTTTTCATTTTTTCCTCTTCCACTGCCACAGAAGTCTGTTTCTTTGAGGCCAAGGAGTTGCTTCTCATACACTGCAGCAGTTTTTGGTGAATGACGACTTTTTTAGTGTTGTCCCAGCCAGCTTAGTGACTGTTTTATCATCATCTTTGCTATCGCTTCTTTTTCGCACTTCACTGAAAAACAATAGTTTGTTTGATCAGACAAAGCATTTTCAAAGGGAAATTATCCTGCTTTATTGTGACCATTTGCTGAATAAGAGTAAAGGTTCATGAATACTGCATATTGATACAGTTTGCTTTCACCGTGTACACTGAACATGAATAAATATCATGTGTATTAATGCTATTTACAGTGCTTAGCTTAATGGCAAACATAGGAGAAGACGTATTGTCAAGAAGAGGTGTTTACATAATAAACTTCAGTCTTGGGCCATGATGAAACATCCCATTTTAGCATTATTTTTCCTGCTCTGGACACAATCCACACAGAAAATCCAAATTATCATCTACAGAGTGCGCTAAAATAAATGGGAACTGTTGAAGGAAGTTTGCCTATGGACTGTGATTTGAGTAGTAAATTAGTACTAGCAACAATAAGGCTTCATGCATGCCCAGTACATTGACTCCATTTTTCCTTATAAATGGTTTAGTATCCTGAGTCACAGAACTACATAATCTTGATCATGGACTGAATCACTAACTGTCAAGGGTGCCCAGGAATGTGCCTTTGGGGTAAGGTTATAAAACATCTTTAGAAAGCAAGTTTTCCAGGTTTCTTTTCATTAATGTTTTGATATTTACATCACGAAGAGACTACAGGTAGTCCCCAACTTATGACCACAATGGAGCCCAAAATTTGTTGCTATGCTGAGTTGTTAAGTCAGTTTTGCTCCATTTTACAACCTTTCTTGCCAGAGTTGTAAGTAAATCACTGCAGTTGTTAAGTTAGTAACATGGTTTTTAAATGAATCTGACTTTCCCATTGATTTTGCTTGTCAGAAGATCGCAATTTGTCCCTGGGACACTGCAACTGTCATAAATATGAGTCAGTTGCCAAGCATTTGAATTTGGTCACGTGACTTAAATGAACCGTTGTATCTCGAGGACTACCTGTATTTCATTTCTGAAATAAATGTATTTGTCCTAAAATTAAATTTTAAAAGCCTATTGTCTACTATTTGGGAGATTCTACAGTTGTATTATATTGTACTTGCTCCCTTGAAATCTTTAATTCGACTGTCATTTAATAAAGTGCCTAAAGAATTCTGGAAATGACTCTTATCACACAGTAACAGTTAATTTTAAAATAATGTTTCAGATGGTTACATCTCTGCTGTATCTGTTGCCAATGATACCTAAGAGATTTTTCTGTATTCTAAATGAATAAGCAGAAGGGGCTCTTTCTACAATCCAATGTATTTTTATGGTATCAGCAAGAACAATTGAACACAAAGCTACAACCAAACGCTACTTTTAATCTTGCTAAAAATAAAAAGACATGATTTCAGACATTCCATGATTTTCATTTCATGAGCCATGTCATTATAATAACCCGCATAAACCAGGAATTCATGTTGATTTAGACATGGAAAAACATTTGAAAGATAGATATTTGCTGACTATCTATAAGTGTATTATCAAAACACTCATTAACCCATACCAGTTTAATAACGAAACACTCTTGCCAAAGTTACAATGAAATATATCACAGTTTTGATTACGCAGTAAGATTGGAAAACACATTATAGAATTCAGAAGACGACTATCAAAATTGGGCATTTTTTGGAGCAGCCCAATCCAAGACTTCAATCCCATAATTCTCATTTAATTGGCTATAGAGAATGGTCCCAGTTAAAAGCCACAATAATGGAAACAGCTTGCTATATGGATCATCATCATAAGGCTGCAGATCTTTCTGTGCAGCAGACAGGAAGACAAACAATGGAGGGAGGAACTTGTTAAAATAATGGGGACATTCCATACCGTGGTTGTTGTCAGAAGGTATCTTATTCTCCGCAGTATCTACCAATAGATGTTGAATGTGTAATCCTATCCTTATTTTTTAAAACTATTTTGATATTTTATAGTTTATGAAGATTCTACTAACAAGCCAATTTTACATTACAATCTATATGAAACACATATAGTGTTCTTCATATGCAATGAGCAAATATATTTAATGCACATATATTTTAGGGAAGTACAACGTGGCAATACATGGGGTTGTGTATACTATGCATACTTACTGGCCTAAAATATTCAGTGGACCCTGCAAAAACTGAAATAATTGAGATTTGCCAGTAGTCATTGGAGAGGATGCCTTGCAAGGACTCAATGCTAATAACTTTTCTACTTAGCCCCAGGAAATAATGTTCTTGAGGTGCAGCTTTCCTCAGATCTAATTGGATTCACTAGCAGCAGTGATCCACTAAACCACTTTTACTTCATAAAGTTAATTGTGCAAGGAACAGCTTCTGGTAGTCTTATCTGATCCTTCAAAATTAAACATGAAGGAAGAGAGCAAAGACCTTTCTCTTGAATGAGGAAATAAAACAAGATACTTAGTACCAGTGAGAAGGTAGTTGATTCACCAAGAACAGCCTTTGATGGCCTCTGAAAAGCTGGAATTGGTCTTGAAACTAAGGAGAAAAACCCAACTGTATACATGCCAAACTATTCATTCCACCTATTCCAGTTTACACAGATGTACACACCAAATGTACATTTAAAAAAATGAATGGCATTGAACAAATATGACTTTTTAAAAGGTGTGGATATAGGGCCTCTGAACATACCGAGCAAGATGAAGCACTGCCTCAACAATATTAGAGCCGTCTTTAGCACTTGTTTCGCAGAATAGTGCACTGTAAGTCTAGGTTAAAAAAAAATCAGAAAGTATATTAATTACCTTAATGGAAATTCAATTCAAAAAATGATTAAAAGACAAAACTGAAAATAAAATAACTAATTGCTTTTGTTTGATATGATACCTTCCAAATGTTCTCGACATCAACTTTCATCATTTCCAGCTATTCTTCAGGCTGAAAATTGTAGAAGTTGATGTCCAAAATTTCTAGAAGTGCCAAAGGATTGAAATATTGCATTAAATAGCTGTTACTTTCCAAATGTTTGCTAATACCCACTAAACTACAATATCAATAGCAATTTTTTCAAATCAAGTTTTTATACATTGCCTGAACCTCAAGGATTCAACTTCTAACAGTTCAAGCTTCCATTTCAATATCTGATTCTATTTTCAATATTATCTTTTTTATTTTTTCCAAGCTATTGGATCTGTCATTCTTACCATGGCCAACTTTTCTCCATAGTTGAGAGGTACGCATTTCAGTCCTTCTTCAGAAGCTGTCTGACGAAGATCTGATTTGTTTCCCACCATCATGATTGGGATATTTTCATGTGTGGCATCCTACAATGAATAGAACTTTAATGCCGGGGCTTCTGATGTTAAATCCAAAATACAAATTTTAATAGTCTAACCATCAAAACATTTTTGTTATTATTAGATTTTCACCCTGCTTTCAATTAGCTTAAATAAAAAAACTGTTGGGTTACTGTATCATATATATTAATGTATATTTATTAGTTAAATTTATATGTTGCCCATCTCACAAGAGGAGACTCTAGGCTACAAACAGCAAAAAAAATATATAAAATAATAAGCATATCAAAACCATCATAATAAAAAAAAATAAAGCATAAAAACACACAAGAAATTAGATCAGCAAGGGAGCCACCTCAAGATCTCACCAGTCCCTGAACTCCCAGGCCTGATGACATAGCCAGGCTTGTGGGACTTCCAGAAAACATATAGGCATAGAGTTGACCTCAGATTTAGTATAGGTAGTTCTTGACTTATAACCACAATGGAGCCCACAATTTCTGTTGCTAAGTGAAACATTTGTTAAGCGAAGTATGCTCCATTTTACGATCTTTCTTGTCACAGTTGTTAAATTAATTCCTCCAGTTATTAAATTAGTGACACTGCATTGACTTTGGTTGTCAGAAGGTCGCAAAAAGGTGACCATATGACCTTGGGACACTGCAACCATCATAAATATGAATCAGTTGCCAAGTTCAATCCGAATTTTGATCATGCGACCATAGGAATGCTGCAACAGTTGTATCTGTAAAAAACAGTCCTGAGTCACTTTTTTAAGTACAGCTGTAACTTTGAATGGTCATTAAATGAACTGTTGTAAGTCAAGGACTACCTGTACTGCAACACACTGAGTCTGAATCATCTCAACCATTAATAACATTTCAAACACAGGTTTCCTTAGAACATTTTGTAAGATCAAAACATCCTTACCGCTATCATATCCACCCATTCTCGAACATTAAGAAAGCTTTTTTCACAAGTAACATCATACAGTAGAAGCACTCCATCTGCTCTTCTGAAGTAAGACTTAGCAATACTTCGGAACCTTTTAAAAAAAAGTTAAAAATTTGCTGTAGTTCTTCTATCCCGCTTTTTTTTTTCTTAGTCTGTAGAGCAGGTTAAGTTCATTAGATTAAAATCATAAACATCTGATCCATAAGGATGGCAGGGAAGAAATTAAGATAGTAAATGTGTAATGGCTCCGTTACCTGAGCCTGTGTCATCGGCAGGAGAGGACTCCGAGAGTGAAGGAGAGGAGTTGGCAAGGCCTCCCTCTCCAGGACCCTCCTCTCTGGCAATGCCTTCGGTGTCCGCCGAAGGGCAAGAGATAGGGCCGGGGCCAAGCACGTCCACACAGCCACAGATGGACAGTGATGAAGGTAATGAGTCTTGGCTGGATCCACGCCAGCATCGCAGAGATAAGCGCGCGCAACAGAAGAAAAGGCGTGCCCAAGATTAGGCTAAGTCACTGGACCACACCCCACAAGGTATAAAAGGGAACGTGGTGGCCAGTCAAACCTTGTGATGAACAAAGCTGAAAGCTTCCACGCCATTCTGCATTGCCGGACTTTTGCTATAGACTTTGCTGGATTATCTCTGGACTTGATTGGCTCTGTAATTATTGAGCTGTTTCTTTTACCAGAAGTGGGGAGAAGTTATCTCTCCTCTTCGTAAGTAATAAACTCTTGGCAGGCAGCCACTAGGTTGTTGCCAAGTTCCGTTATCATAAGGAAAAGGATTTTGCCGGCTGGTTTAGTCTTTAACTCTTGAACGTCTGTTGGTGTGTGTGCGTGTGGGACGGGGACAGAACATCAGGCTGCATTACATACCCTTTAAGTTGGTACCAATAATATAGTGGCAATTTAGGATTAGTTTGAACTTTAAAGAACCAGTGCTTTAAGTGTCCAATGGGCCACTACTATCCAAGATCAGGTATAAATACCAGGTGTCCTGTAATTGTTCCAGAGTAAAATACCTTACCATTGTCTGGACCTAGTGGAAGCTGAAATTATCTACATTTTGTTCAATCGTAAGACATTTTCTGTGGCATTCTAAGGCTATTTTCCTTAACCTGGCATTCTCCAAAATGCACTGGGTTTTGGTACAGGACAGCACCAAAACATAATTTTCTAATACAGATCTTTTATTTCAAATAAAATCAGATAAATTTAACTAACCTCTCTTGACCAGCAGTATCCCAAAGCTGTAGCACCGTAGGTTCTCCATCAACAATGAGTCTCTTCATTTGAAAATCAACCCCTTAAAATAAATAACATCCTTTAATGCACTGCATAGCCATCCTTTAATTCAATTAATGTTAAGAATCTGGAATTTATCAATAGGATGAAACCTAAAAACATAACCAGAGTTAAATAAGTGAGATTACTGAGAACTCTGGGGCAAGAACGGGAGCTCACCCCATCACACAGTGCTTAGATCTTGAACTGCCAACCTTCCGGTTGACAAGCCCAGCGTCTAGGATGACAAAAAGATATAATAAAGTAGAAAACTGTGCTGTACCATCTGGCTATTTGTCCACTTCCAAATATGAGAAATAATTTCCCCGTCACAGAATCAAGTCTTTGACTCTGCTTCCAACAGATGACATTTGCCAATCAGCTTCTGAGGTCTGGAGCTCAATAGAGTACTCTCCTGACAATGTTGGCACTAAAAGGACAAGTGTAAATGGGAATGCCCCTTTGGGAGCATCTTTTAGGAGATCTTTGAGCTGAAGATCTCAACATTTCATTTTCATGTGCATGTAGGTTTTTCAAGAAGGCTAAACCTGGGCTGCTAGTTACTGTAGCCTGAGGTTAGGCGGGGGAGGGGTGGACAGGGAAACAAATGGTCTGGCAATAAGCATGTCAGTAGAGGGGGCATGTTGCAGACCTGTCACTCAAGAAATTTCTATTGGCAGTTGCTTGTCCTGTTATTTTGGATTCTTTTCTGCTGATCTTCAGATTTATAAATCTGTAACAGCCTACTACAATATGGTCTACATTTTACAGGGCATCTAGTTTAATCTGCTGCTCAGTGCAGGAATCCAGTAAATCAGTCACAACAAGTGAACATTTAACCTGCACTGAAGACTCCAACAAATTGAAATCCACCACTGTTCCAGCAGATTGTCCCAGTGTTTAATTGTTCTCTCAGGAAATTCTCAGATTTTATATCGAAGTAATATAGTGTCAAAATCTGTATTCTAGTTTGGAGAATGGACCTAACTACATCTCCATCTCTCTGCCACTTTACTGTCTGTCCCTGTTTCCCTTTTAACTTCAACAGAAGTTTTGAGATAGGTCAGGACAAAGCCACATATGATGTCTTAAGATCCCTGGAAAAAGTCAAATGTAGAGGTGATTGAAAGACAAGCTATGATAATCAAAACATGGTATCTATATTTTGTGGGGGGAAATATCTTCAAAACTCATCTGTTAGCTCAGGCAGTTATGGGTGCCCTAGAAAAGGAAAATATAAAAAAAACATACCCAGGGTTGCACTGGTGTTTCCTCGAAATTCATTTTTGCAAAGCCTCATAAGAAAGCTAGATTTTCCAACAGCTGCATCCCCGGCAAGAACTATCTTGTAGGCCTTCTCTGAGCTTGGGTATTTGGAATTGTTGTGTATAGAATCAACCTAATATAGCAAAACATGTACCATATTGACAACATTAAAATAATACTAAGCTTTTGATTCAGTAATCTTATTTTTAAGGCTGTCAGCGCTAACACTGGAGCATATATACATAAATACACTTAGTTGCTTATGGTGTAATTCTAGATATGATGATTAACTTCATCGCTGAAAACTAGCATAATGAAAATATTTCATCAGACATCATTGGGATTGGGACGGATGATATTTGTGTTTTCATTTATTGCAATGTCAATATTGCAATGCTTTCTATAAATCCAGTAGTACAGTACAATTTAGAATACTGAAAACTATACAGATTCCCACTTAATTAAAGTTATCAAAGAAATAACTGAAGGATACAAAGCCTTCCTTGTCAATCAAAGCCTTTTAAAAAGTGGTAGCATGACAGCCGTTCAAACAGAAATTAACAGGTGAGAAAAATTTAAATTTCTTTTTTTCTTTCAGGAGATCCACTAGGGCTATACATATTTTGAACATTATTTAAGGAAAGATTTTTTTAAACCCATGCTAATGCAACTACTCTACTTATTAAAGCAGCTATCACATTTTTCCAGGCGTGTGAGTCAGTTCCTTTAAGGCTCCCTTAAAGATGTGGCTGCTTTAATAAATTATGTCATTAAACCAGAGAAACTCTGAAAAAAGGATTTCTTACTGAAAGAGATGCTGAGCTTGTACAAGTTCAAAAGTATACTTCCTAATCATTTATAAAAGATACAGTGCCCAAATATCCAATAACACTGATTTAGCAATAACATAAAAATATGTATTTCCACTCTACATATTATGAAATTTGCTACCACAAAACATAGCTGCCTTTAAAAGGAGTGACTCATAAAATTTTGGCTTGCTATATAGTTGGTGGACCTGAAGGCCAATGAACTGATGTTTTCATATCTTATATATATGAAGGTTGATGGAGATGGCTAAACTGACTGCTTTGATTAAAGACAAAAATACAGTTACTTTTGTTTCTACTTGGAAGAAACTTGCTTCTGGACTTAGTGCTCAAGGAGGGAGAAAATGAAACTTTGACTTTGGGTTTTGTTATAGAAATGGCTATTTTATACTGTTATGTAAAAGTAAAAAGTTAGGTTTGATGTTATTATTTTATTCTACGGCACCAAAGAAAGTCAGAAGTTAAAGCCTTCCCCCCCACTTTTTCCCACAATTTTCCCTTCCCTTTTCCCCCCTCTTATTTTTCCTACTATTTTCTTTTGTATTTCTGTATTCTTATGGTATTAATACATAAATAAACAAAAACTTTGGAACGAAAAGGGTCATCTGGGTGGCTATCAGTAATGAAACAGTAGAGTAAATAAGCCTTCCCAGTATTGTTCCCTTTACATTTGTTTTGGCCAAGAACATAAAGGACGCAGTTAGCAAATGTGAATTAGGGATTCCCAGACTGAAGATGAGTCTTATGCAAACATATCACAAACTCTCAGTCACCAATCAACATACAAAATACCCCTTCATTCAAAAGGGTGAGAGCAAGAAGCCAGAATTTAAAGCCTTGAGAAAATATGAAACTCCCTGAGATCTTTGCACTGCAATGAACAATCGACTTGTTACATGTGATGCTTTGTTCTTGTCTGCAGTAAATTCTCTAATCTAGCCAAGCTGTGTTTGCGAGTTTTCTGCCAAGTCAAACTGAGAAACTGAACTAAGGATTAAGTGTCTGGAGATCTATAATTTACTGTTGAGCTCAGGGATGAAGTCTGACCAAGTTTGTAAGAACTCTGAGAGGTATATTCCCTATTCCTCCAACAGTTTTAGAGGATAGGAGACAGGGAAGATTGGTCGACTCTAGTGGACTTCTGACAGATTTTAAAGTAGTTTATGTCTTTATGTCTGGTGATTTCTGGATTTACTGATTAAAAATGAGGTTTTTCCAGGAAGAAGGAAACTGAGATAGGCAATTTATAAAAGTGGAAAAGTTGACACGACTACAAATTGTGCAAAGATCAGAAGTCACTTCTTTAGATATCTTTTCTTGTTTGTCTTTTGTGGTTCCTCACTTATTTTACATCATTTTTGGTTTTTCTATTTTTTCTTTTTAAGTTACTATTTTTTTTTCATCCTGTATAAAATTTTCTTTCATTATAAAAGATGTTTAAAAGTGTTTTATGTCTTATAATGCATTATAAAAAATGTCATAAAGTACATTTTTATATTAGCATAACATGCCTTAAAATCACTGGAGGACTTTTTTTGTTTGGGTTAAGTTTTTAAGTTTAAAATATAAAAGACTTTCAAAGATAAAATTTCACGAAACTCAGTTACATAACAAGACAAGATGTTGATGCACTCTTTCTGAAGATTTCACTGAGCTTTGTAAATAATAATCTGATAGCCAATAAAATCAGTGAAGCTTGCATCTGAATTGGCATCCATAGTACCGGATGTTTATGCTAAGCCAAGCTTGTTTGGTTCAGAGAATGCACTATACTATAAACCTAGTTATAGTTATTTATTCAATAAAGTACACCATAGGATAATGTGTCAACAAAAGAATAACATGATTAGTTCTTCACTGCAAAAAAAAAAGCCTCAGATTTCCATCAGCTGCTCCTTGATGCCATATAGAAAATACCTTTTGACAGTAAAAACATAGTGAAAAAAATGAAACAGCACATAGGAAGGGAAAGAAGAATCCGAGCTTAAAAATGTCAAGGATACACTGAATAACTGATATTTTGGTTGTTCTGAAGGGTGCCCTTTCAATCTCAGCCATTGTGGTTTTAAGAGTAAATATGGCACTCTATATTTCATACCTGTGGAGAGAATGCAGGGATGTGTTTCCTTGTCGAAGCTCGAGAACTGCTTTGATTGACTGATTGTTCAGGTTTCCAATACAATACTGTATTTACGTCATCAGGACTGTATACCTCTTCATCTCGTATCTCTGGGACCTGCAGAAAACAAGATGTGTAACTAACCTGCCTTGGAAAACACTATTGTTAATGAAAGGAAGGGAGGGGGAGAGAGAGAGAGATCAATCTACTGCCATAATCCAATTTGACTCTCAGTTAATACATGTCATACAAGATTATTTTTTTTTCATTTGTATGGGTAGCATTTACAGATTCCCCTTGGAGAACTGGAGTAAATTCTTCAACTATTACATTCCATCTATTAAAATTGTAGACAGTCTCTTTCCTGTAGGTTAAGATGGATATATATATATTTACTATGTCATTCTACAGGATGGGATGCAATGAATAAGCATCCACTCTTCCCCCGAAACTCTGTGAAGAGTAACCACAGAAATAATGTGGTCAATTAACCACATTAAATGTAAAACCTGCAATTCCTTTACATATTTAAACACACATATTTCCATCTTATATGAGGTTCTGGTTAACTCTCTGACAAGCAGGAGGTGATTCTGCTTTTAAACACCAATCTGAACATTTTAAAATGTATGGTTAACATGCTCCATAGCTTACGTCTGTGTCAGAAGCATCACCCGGGAAGTTTTCCTGCAGACACTGTGTTCTCTCAGATGTTCTTTGATGCTTGGATTCCACTTCTGAATCATATTCATTGGAATCTCTTAATGTAGACAAGCCGCTATCAAAGCAGCTTTCAGGCAAGCTGTCAACTTCACAGTTTATCCTCTGCATTGGATCACAAAGTGCGAGGGAGTCATACTCTTCATCCACGTAGGATGAATGAGACAGCCTGATTGAGATATAAGGAGACATAACTTTTGGAAAGGCAATGCAAAGGGTAAAGTTCAAACCCGCCCTCTACCTCACAGGGATTCCTGCTATGGAACAAATTTGAGGAAGTGTGCTGTGATCCTCTAGACATTTAGCCAATTATATTTCACATGGGTAAATATACAGAGGATATGAATAATTATACTGTAACATTCAGTCAGGGAGAGCAGACCTACATACTAATGTTAATGGGGCTACCCTTGAAAAGTGTTCGGAGACTATAGTTGGTCCAGAACGCAGCCATGCGAGCTATCATGGGTGCACCTAGGTACACCCACATTACACCAATTCTCCATGAGCTGCACTGGCTCCCTATTTGTCTCCGGTCACAATTCAAGGTGTTGGTTATTACCTTTAAAGCCCTACATGGCTCAGGACCAGGGTATCTTCAAGACCGCCTTCTACCGCATAACTCCCAACAACTGGTAAGATCCCACAGAGTTGGTCTCCTCCAGGTCCCGTCAGCTGAACAATGCCGGCTGGCGGGCCCGCAGGGGAGGACCTTCTCTGTGGCTGCCCCAGCTCTCTGGAACCAGTTACCTCCTGAGGTCCTGACCATCCCCACCCTATTGGCCTTCCGAAAAGCGGTGAAGACCTGGCTTTTCCAGCAGGCCTGGGGCCATTGATCTCACTCTTGCAATCCGGCGAGATCCAGCCATGAATGGTGTGAATGAGTTTTAATGTTTTTAATGTTTTTAATTTTTAAATGTTTTTTTTTATTATTATTATTTTAAATGCATTGTGAGCCACCCTGAGTCTTCGGAGAGGGGCGGCATACAAATTGAATTAATAAATAAATAATAAATAAATAAATAAAATAGAAGTTGCAACTAAGACATATATAAGTGTTGTCATCCTGTTCCACTACACTAGAATAGTCTGAATAATTTCAAAGACTAATCGTGGTTAAACGTCTTTTGAAGTACAGTGCTAAAACATTAAAATAAAATACAATAGTAAAGCACTTAAGGCCTAGTTTGTTTTTTATATGTTTATTTCATTACAATATTTCCATCCCAATTTCTCAACATTCAAGTTTAAGAAACAGAATTTAAGGGGAAAAATGTTTAAATTCCTTCAAATTTTGTAGTTAACATAGAATAGGACACACATCTCTTAAAGCATTTCCCCCAAAAATGCATGCTAGAGAAACTCTATTCTGAAAACTGAGAGAAAATTTGTATTTCTTGAAACTTTCTTCTTAACTTAGGTGATATACATAATACCAAGTCTTAAATTTACAAAATTATTCCAGAGAGTAAAAATGCTAGGCTCCCATTCAAAATGATTAATGAATGAGAAGTATTAGCTTTAATTCATGAAAATCTCTCAGGGACAAAATCAATACATCTGTTTCCAACAATCATTTCCCTTGTTAGATGATCATTCGATTCCACTAGAGAGCAGCATAGGGTAGGCAACCAATGTTCTATATTAAAGTTACCATAAACATTATGTTATACATATTAGGGGGCTCCAATCTTGGAAACTTTAAGACTTGTGGACATGCTGGCTGGGAAATTTTGGGAGTTGAAGCCCACAAGTCTTAAGGTAGCCAAGGCTGGACACCTCTGCACTATAGGAAACCTACAGATTGCCCAGAGTATCTACTTGCTTCTAGTTTCCATCTTGAGCACACCACCAACTGTATCATCTATTTAACAGAGACATCCGACTGATGGAATTAAACCAGTGGTGAAATCTAAAATTTGTTACTACCAGTTCTGTGGGTGTGGCTTGGGGGGGTAATGTGACTGGGTGGGCGTGGCCAATTTTTTTTTAACTTTTAAAACCATTTTTTCTTCGGCGAAGAGGTTGTAAAAAAATGCTTTCAAAAGACTCTGACAATCCCAGCTGAGTTGCCTAATTGGCAGAGGCTTTTTTAAAAAGCCTCTGTCGATCAGGCAACTCAGCATGGATCATCAGAGGCATTTAGAAGAAAAAAACAGTGGGGTCGCAGCTGAACCGCACGATCATCAGAGGCTTTTTTTTTTAACTTTTAAAAGCATTTTTTCGGTCAAAGGGGTTGCTTTTAAAAGTAAAAAAAAAGGCTCTGATAATTGTGCGGCTCAGCTGGGTATGGGGGGGGGGGAGGCAGGGATTTTTGCTACCGGTTCTCCAAACCACCCGCCTCCATTGCTACTGGATCAGGTGATCTGGTCCGAACTGGGAGCATTTCACCCCTGAATTAAATTATATATACCAAAGACTAAATTACCCACACAACAAGATCAACAGACAAATCTATAGATCCAGATTGATTCCCAGAAGAATCTACTAAAAGACTGACAACAAGACTCAAATACTTTCTTTTTCTCTCCAGTCCATCTCACCCTAATTTAAATCCTACATCAATCTAATCATTCTATTGCGCTGCCTGTTGGTATAAAAAGGTGGTACCAGACTCCTTTTGGATTTTTGGATACCTCAAACTAACAGTACTCTGTCCTTCAACTTCTAGTAACTGTAATCGTTTTATGAAAGATTAGTGATACCAATTAGCTCCTATCTGGATACCACAGAATAAGGAAGAGACAGACTGCTGACTAATCCAATATAACTTTCCAAACCTAAATCAGGTTCTTGAGATAAAGAAAGAAACCACCAGAGATGGAAATGTCATGAACTCAGATCAATCCATGTATTGAAAATAAGAATTGTAGACTCAGAATTTGCTCAGGGAGACCCCACTGTTTAATCATGCACAGCAACAATGAAAACTAGCTTTTATCAAGTGAGAATAATTAATCAGTGGAATGGCTTGCCTCCGAATTTGTGGGTGCTCCACCACTGGAGGTTTTCAAGAAGAGACTGAACAGCCATTTTGTTCTGAATGATATAGGATCTCCTGCTATGGGCAGGTGATTGAACTAGAAGACCTCCAAGGTCCTTCCAACCCTATTATTCTATGTTCATTATTTCAACCCTATCTTGGGTTGTCAGAGATTGAGTCTGAGAATGAGTCCAACCTTATCATAAAGCTCTAGAAAAAGAAATGTATCTGAAAGGTAGAAAACTGCTTGACTCAGTCTTTAGAATATTACTTAACACATATATATCCAGTTTTTCAAACTGTATCATTTTAAATGCATAATCAATTCTACCTGTCGTATTGTGGATTTTGGGGAGAATGGCCACGACCACATTTGGGACTGCTTCTGGACACTGTGTTTCCAGGGGAAATATTTGTTAGACGCTGAAAAACACACACGAATTAGAAAGTTTTGAGATAACCTGGAAAAAGTTGGTTTAAGATCATCTCTTTATCTACCAAAACATTTTTTTCTTGATTACAGCTATTTCAATTTTGGAAAATTCAAAACAAAAACATATTCAATCATTATGTGTCTAATTGGGGGCGTGGGAGTAGGGGGGAGGGAGTTAAATGAAGCATCCCCTTGGTATAATGTTTTCCCAAAAATAATTTTTCTTATGAAATAAATAATTCTATATGTGCATGCTATCTATTTTAATTATAGAAAAAAATACAAAATTATAAAATAAATAAGCAATATTAGATTCAATAACCAAAACTTTTTTCTCAAGATACAATTCTAAGTAATTCAGTGGGGTTTTTTTTTCTAAATAGAAACAGAATTAACCTATCAAAGTATGTACATTTATGGCCCACTAAATACACAGGGCTTATTTCCATTTTAAAAAGCATAGGATTGTTTTGATAGAAATACAGAAGATTTATTATATTTCAGGGACTCCAATTTCGGTGTTTTATTGAGATGCCCAGAAGAAAAAAACAATCTACTAATTAATATATAATTAATTACATGTTGAATATGAAATGTTCAAACCTACCAGTGATCTGTTGTATATACTCCAACTGTTCTCTAATGCACTTCTTAAGCCATCATTACTGTCATGTAGTTTCCTGTTAGCTGACCTAAAATCAAGACAGAGGGGAAAAATTGCCTTACAAGAAGTCAACCCTAGCAATTGCAATTTAAGTTGGTTTAAGAAATGCAACAAAAATAAGAGAATGAAAGGGGTTCCATGTGCCTTTCATAAAGGTTAGGAAAATGGCAGAATGGTTCAATAAATAGTTTGATAAATGCCTTTCTGTCTGTCTGTGTTTGTATCTTTGAGTCAGTTTTATGTGTATATCTTTGAATATATCAGCGTATACCTGCAACTGCCTGGACAAGTCCCTGTAGTTTTCTTGGTAAAATTTTGAAAGCAGTTTGCCATTGCATGTTTCTTAGGGCGAGAGTGAGAGTGAGAGTGAGAGTGAGAGTGAGAGTGAGAGTGAGAGAGAGAGAGAGAGAGAGAGAGAGAGAAAGAAAGAGAAAGAAAGAGAGGCCCAAGAACACACAGCTGGCTTTTTACCAAAAGCAGGGCTGGAACTCACTCTCCGTTTGTAGTTGATGCATACACCAAAATGGCTCTCTTTCAGTGTTAATACAGCCCTAATGGTTATCATAGGTATGGGTACCACTAACCCCAAAACAGGAAAAAGAAATAATTGCTCCTATAATTACAAAGACTCCATGTTTGCTCATTTGAGAAGGGCCAAACTGCTAGTTTTTCATTCCTTACTCCACTGCCTTTTTGCCAATCTGAAAGTTCATGAGGCCCCAATCCAAATTAACAGGAAGAAAAATGATAAGATACTACAAAAAAGATGAGATTTTTAATTTTAAACACCGTCAAGCCCCTTCGCATCATCCTCCCTGATTCTGAAACCCTCCATGTATCTTAGGTTACATGTATCATGTACTTTCATGTAGAAAGTTTGACAAGTGATGGGAATTATAATTCAGATCTAGAAGACAACAGATTAGGGAAGAATGACATAGTTATCCAAGCAATTGTTAAAAATGAGTAAGGTAGTAAAACAATTTAGTGATAGCTCTGAGCAGTCCGCTGCAACTAAGTTTTGCTTTTTGCCTGTACATAAGCCTCAACCTATACAAAGTTAAAGAACTTTGAAGCAGCAGAACTGATTGTATTATTTTACACACCAGATGAAGGTGGGGAGCCCACTTTTTAATGGTCTCCCATGTTTAAAATCAAATATTTTGAAATCCAAAAGCTACCGTATCACAGCAAAGTGATTAAGATAAAACTTTGAAAAAGAACAAAAACCTCTCAGAATGTTTCCATGAAATTCAATATACAGGAAGAAACAAAAAACAGCATTTATTTCTAAAATAAATATTAGGCTTCTGCAATGCTCAAGATTGAAATTTTGAGGAATGTTTTGGAATGTGTGGGGCCCTAATGCACCTGCCTCACTAAAGCAGCTTTGTCCAAGACTGCACAGTTGCAGAAGAAGCCTTCCCATAGTCTCTATGCAGTAAGAAACTAATGTGGGTGCTTTACTGAGTCACAAACAGGCTGACTTCACAATGCAAAGCACCTCTTCAAAAGAATACACAGCTACAATAACATCCAGTGCTTATATGTCACCACAAAGACCATAGAGTAAGGCCCAAGTATGTTATTCCAGAGGGTTATTTCAAAGTTTATGTGGAGAAGGCTGATTCTACGTAGCCACTTTAGCAGTCATGTGTTCTTGGAGCAAAGCCTCCAATAATTACCTTAGTTCTGAGACAAAATTATTCAATTTGAACTTATCTATTTTACTGCAGATCAGTTCATTTCCTCCAGTTCATTTTATCCCAAGAACATTCAACCAAGTATTAGTAATTAAGTAAGCATTAAATATTACTTTGTTATACTATATTTTCAGGTACTTTGGACCTAGTGTAATATTAAGATGTTACATGTAATGTAATAACCACTGTTTTAATTGTTTAGTTTGATAGTTTTAATATGGTTTTATATGTTGTTTTAAATTTTGATTGAAACCTGCCCAATGTTGGTTAGAAGATGGGCAGCTAAATAAATGTTTTAAATAAATACGTCCTTTTGGAAAGGAACATACAAATTAATAAATAAAATGCAGTGGACTATGGCTCATTTAGAATTCAGTGACCTAAAAACCTGTAAGATTATAGACTTTGGTCAGTAGAGATATAAAAATTAAAAATAAATAAAAATGATTAAATTTTATTTCTGAACAAAGGAATGCTTCCAAAGATCATACCGGTTTCCTATAATATCAAATGCAGCTTAAATCTGTGACTAAGTTTTATCTACCAGGCAGGCTGATTAAAATATAGATCAGGGAACTGGAGATACCTTTCCCCCAAAAAAGAGAGTGCTGTTCTTTCACAGAAAAAAAAGAGAGCTTTTCTTTTCCCCATTGGAGATCCTAACTTCTGAATATCAAAATTTATAAATGAAAACATTTTAAAAACAGAATTATTTAGCAGCTTACTGTAATATTGCTATCTGCCTCTCCAAGCTATCTCTGTCTTCAGTGTACTCTCTGATCATGTCTAGATCTCTGCAAAGAGAATAGTTTAGGGGGAATTAGTTTGGTTTTTTACCAACAACAATTTACTATGTATCTCTAGAGATATCCTCTTACCTTTCTGAATTCAAACTTTGATCTGCAATATCACTTTTTAAAGCATCTAATTCACTCTGAAGGAAAGCTATATTTGTCTGTGCTTCCATAAGATCTTTTTTAAGTTTCTGGTTTTCCTAAAAACAGAAATTTTAAAAATGAAACATTCAAAAATAGTAATTCATGCAATAATGATTCATGAAATTAAACAAGTTTTATGGCTACTTTGATAAATTATTTCATCAACCTATGAACTACGTGAATAGTCACCAGTTTAAAATAAAAGGATTACTTATTTCTGTACTGGTTTCGCATTTGTACCGAACCTCTTTCCCCACAAAATCTGTTTGTAGCTTTTCAAAACTCCCTAGAATAGATATTCATGGTATGCACAAGGCCACAGAACTATAAAAATTCCATCTCACTGTTCCATCAGTAGGAAAACATGTCTGCATCTAAGGGCCAGTCTGTACTTTATTGTTACACACACCACTTACCCATTAACTACTTGTTAATATATGGAGCTAAACACACCACATACCCAGGAAAATGTTTTTTTTCCCTCTCCCTAAAATTCTATTTGTTCATTTGAATTCCCTGACAGTTCAAGAAAATGTCAAATTTCACCAAGCCAGAAGACGCAACAAAAATACTAGTTACGTTGAGACTGATAGGCTAAATGAGGAAATTCATACCAAGGTCAGATCATGTATCCTTCTTTTTAATACTGCCAAATCTTCTTTGTGATTAATGTGTTTAGATTGTTCCTCAAGCTGTGAACAATAAAGAAAACGTAAAAGTTATAAGAAAATTTCTCTGACTGCCTCACTTCAATGCAAAGGGAATCAAACTTTTCACAAAAATGCTCAAGAACTCAATTGTTTTCTGTATAGGTTATTTGAGGGTAGCTTTTAAAACTAGCTAACTAGTTTTATTAAATTAAAAACTAATAACTTGAGACAGTACTACACTATTAAACTAGTCATTAACTTCCTGAGCTATTATCACCAATACAAATAATTTATGGTGTGAAGCAATGAATAACTGAAGAACAAAGAACTATTGCATAATGATAACTGAAAAATTAAAACAATAACTGGAAAGCTAAGAATTAACTAATCTTCAATTCACAGAAAGGTTTCCCAATCTGTCAACAAAAGGAATTCCTGCTCATTTTAGGCTATAGCTAAATCCTTACTTTCAAGCTGACCAAAGTCTATTTAGATTTACCAGATGCTTTGATAATTCAAAACCTAATTGTCAAACACTGTTATTATTAGGGAACTGAGTAACCAAAAGGCATGGAGAAAGACTCATTAAGGTCAATAGATTCTTATTTGTGGTTATTCAGACAAGCAATTGCGGACATTAACTCTAGACTTCAATGAGCAGATTTACTCCCAAAATACAACAGAGCTAATCTCTCACTTTTTGAAATAACGAAATACTAATTGCCTTGTAAAAAGAATGAAGAAGGACACATTTAAAACCATTTAGTTCTGTTTCATAACCATACCATAGAATACAATTCCTTTGTTTTTAAGGAATCATCACTTTGTTCTGTTATCTCAGGGATTAAAATATGTGAAGTTCATTTTTCAATAAGATGAAAGTCAAGTTTCTTGTCTGTTTAATTGCTTCAAAGATAGCAGAACATTTACAGAGAATCAGGCCTGGACCTATTTAGCCATGCACTCGTCACCATTAAGGGTGTACATACCATTTTTAATTTTTTTATTGTCACTTGGAGATCCCCCACTTCAGTTTCATATTGACGCTTGAGATCATTCAAAGCTTCTTCTGCTTTACGCTTCTCCTGAAACATTTTACGCATTTGTTAAATTACAAATGGCAGACTTAAGCAGTTCTAATTCAGCAGAACACGTATCTGTTTTAATTATACATTTGGCCAATCTAAAAGCATTCATATATGACTAGATATGCACAAAGATTTGCTATTGTACATGTTTCATGTCACCTGAAAATAAACACAAAAAAGCACATACTCTACAATAATTATTAGCACACAAAGCACTATTTGACTGTATCACAAGTCATACTTGCTTCGGTAAAAACTATGTGCTAATAAAACTTATAGTTCAGAACTATCCCACAAAGTAAATATCACAGCAGCAATCTTGCATTTACATTTGAGGCGTCTTTCTTTTTAACAGTACATTTGTGAAGAACAGAGTAAGATAAGCAGAATTTCAAGAATGATAAGCAAACTACATTATTATAGGCTGCTCTTAATATTTAGATGGCAATTAATACACAGAAAATACCCATTTGCTATTGTTTCATCAAATACAAACCCATTCCTTAGTAAAATCATAAATGTCCATTGCACACACATTACTTGCAACAGTTTGTTTTTCCTTCTCCAAAAGCAAGTTCTCCTCATTCCACAGGAGAAAAACAATATTTTTGAAACTCAGGGATACTTCAAAATCTATTTATAATCAGAACCAAGATTATAACTATTGTATACATTGCTATTAGTTGTTGACAGCCACATAAATTGGTTTAACTAGAATTTATTTAATTAGCTTGGTTCATACAAAATACTGAGCTTGGTTTATAAAACATAAACCATATTTTGCAAACTTTACTTCAGAACCTAATTTAAAATCATAATATAATTTAGGGGAGCTTGTGAATCCTATTAGAATCTCTTGCTTATTTTGAGAGATAGGGCAAATACTCAAAACTAAACCCAGAATTTTGCGTTCATTTTTTTCCTGTATTTTTCATATTTTAATTGTTTGGAGGAATAAATGACACTGTGCATGGGTATCCACACAAGCTTCCCTCCTTTGTCAAAATGACAAAAACAGCAACTTATCACAAGCATGCATACAGTGTCATATGTACAAAAGAAGAAGGGCTTTCATCTTAACAGTACAATATGTTTTTTGTCAATTTGCTCCCCAGTTTAGTTCACCTGCAGACTCTCTCCCCCCCCCCCCCCCGTGTTCCAATTTGGAGAAGAAGAAAAAAAATCTCAACAATTCTGCCTTAATCTACATTAACATCTCTGTTCTTTTAACTAAAAAAAAGCAGTTTTCAGAGTTTTAATAACATCATGATCAGATTTCTTATCCACAAGACCTAAAAGCCCACTATTAAGTTGTAATAACTACTAAATAAGTAGTTATTTTTAGCTATTATAGGATGGATGCAACCACACTAGTAAATCTGTAAGAATGAAGTAGTAATCTAATTTGACAACCAGGGATTCTGTGAAAGAAATCTTCCAAGGATACAGAGCTGCCCTAGGATACCACTGAGGAAAAACTGTAGGCATTTTCTGTAGTCAATGTATGTAATTATTTTACCATATTCTAATATTAGAGATCTACATTTCTGGTTAGAACTATTTGTAACTTCAGTTCTATAATAATATACAGAATACAGTTTTCTTCCTTTTAATTACACCCTAGATTTAATTACCAAAAGTTATATGAAAGTAACCAGAGACCCATAAATAAATGGAAATTAAGGATATTGTTGAATGGAAAATAGGAAGAGAAACAGGACTGTACACATTAGTCCATTTCCAAGTATCTCTATTTGCACATGATCTATAAGAACTAGGACGGAATCAATTGTTATGAATTCACATTTCCTCCACGCACTTGGAGGGGAAAAAATGTCACAGATCTATATGTATTATCCACTTTCCAGAACCCTATATAACAGCTCTTCATCTTCTACATAACAGACCTTAGACTACAATTTAGTCTGCCATGACAGATTACTTCAAATTACTAGCCTGCAGTAAGCTTTCATGGGCATCTTTTCCTTTTCCCCAAATTTTTCTTTTTTGTATAAAAAGATGGATAAATTAGGAAAGAGATAGAGAAAGTGCTGGCTTTGTACTGTTTTGCATTAGAGGCAAACTAAAGAGGAAAATAATGCAGAGAAATTATCCATGCATCAAATCTGAAGAACAAAATTTATTTTGTTATGGGAAGCAAGCCTTTCTAAGTCATTAGTATTTTAAGTATTAGTTAATCACCTCCTTCTTGACTTTACGTTCTGTAGCCTGTATGCGTTGCTCCATCTCCTCTTCTAGTTCACCAAGCTGCATGGCTGCTTTATCTTGTGCTCTATAAAAGTGAATACTCACATAAAACAACCTTAAAAATAATTGGGGCAATATGTTTCAAATCAGGAGAACAGACTATATTCCCATCTTTAATTAACTGGTGGACCTTCCCTGTAGCTAATGTGACATTATATTGATAAAAGAGACACGTAAATTGCCTTTCATAACCAATTATCCTGTTTATCAAAGATCTTCAGTATTGAGCAACTATAGGGATTGATTATTTATTATTTTATTAAATTTTTATACCGCCCTTCTCCTACTGGACTCAGGGCGGTGAACAGCCAAAAATAAAAACATCACATACAAAATTTAATTTTTTTTAAAAGAATTAGACAAATTTTGGCCCAATTAAATTTAAAACACCCCAACTAAAATCAATTTACAATTAAAAAATATCTAAATTGTCTTCATACAACTCTGAACCTAAGTTTTTCTATTCCTCACAGCAATAAGCAAATTACAGTATCTGCACAAAGGTCTGACCTTGCAATACTAGGCACTAAATCTCTCTAGGTGAAATTGATGTGGATGTAAATGAATTATCACATTGATACCATAACTCCAAAGACTACAAATTAATACATATATTACAGATTATATAGTCTATTTTATTTCCACCTATAGCATAATTCACTGGAAAATACCAATGAGCCAAAATTAAAAGCAAGATATAGGAAAGAAACATAGTACATATAGTCTCAGAATGTTGGCAGCAGAAAAAAACTGACGGAATGCAGATAATAGCAGAATTCACATCTTATCACTAAGTTGAAGCCCTATATACATGTTTCCCTGAAAATAAGACCCTGTCTTATATTTTTTTGAACCCTGAAATAAGCGCTTGGCCTTATTGCCATGCACTCAAAAGCCTGATTGGGCTTATTATGTCTTATTTTGGGGGAAACAGGATATGTCCACTAGTAATATGACGACCAGGCTCTATTAGTGGCATCAGAATCTCATCCTGGCAGGAGAAATTGTCTCAGAAAGAATGCAGGGAATGTACACATGCAACTCTCTTCAATGGAGAAGACTTAGGAGCACGAGAAGACAAAGGCTTCTTTGCATAAGTATAGAAGTGCAAAATGATTGCATAGGATTTGAAATAAGATTAGGTATTATCAGTGTTGTGCCATCTCTTCCACCAACTGAAACTCAACTGATAGGGCTGCCATTCTAAAACTAAAATACTTGTGGTCCAAGTATTTGGGAAGCTACTGCCTAGTTTGTGCCTTGTTGAGAAAATTAGTGTTTTAACCATTAATAAACCAAATTCCTAATTTCTATGTAGCAATACATTTTTCACTTAATTCTTCCTTCTCTTCCCTTCAGCCTCAAATTCTTTGTGATCAGAAATCTCAAAGTTAAGTTAGAGATACCTGTTCTGAAAAGGCTGTTTTAGAAAACATACGAATGTTCGTTCACAAATTATAAAACAAAGCATATTTAATCATTTGCAAGGGTCATGATAGCATGACCTTTATAATACATTTGTTCTTCACCCCATGATTTATTGGGTATTTAAAGCATGGATAAACAAATTCAAATACCTTGTACTCCAATTCCTCTAATCCCTTCCCATCAGCTCTGTTGTCTGGGACTGATAGAAGTATTTGAATCCAGTAGTGCTCTGGATATGGTATGGACACTCTTTATTTACTTGATGCAGATGTAGATATGTCCACAGTTCTAGAGGATACTTGCCCACTTCAGATTTGAATAATTTATTCTAATATAGTTTCATTATAAAGTACAAACCCAGTTATCTACCTTTTTACAGCAATGGCCAAGGTCTCCATTTCTGTACTCTGCAGCTTGATCTCTCTAATAAAGTTCTTAATAACATTTTCATATGGTTGAATTAATCGTGGTTCCACTATATTGATGTTCTGATACAGAATGCAGACCTGCTCTTGTCTAGAAATGGGAGAGAAATCAAGTATTAAATGTTTTGCAGATTTATTAAGAAATAATATATTTTACACGGTGATGTCAAGGAAAATGGGTAGATGGCACAGACTTTTTATTAAGATTTTACAAATAGGGTTTTAAAAAATAGGTCGATTAGTTCATAAGTAATAGCAAATTACAGATGGCAAAAAAGAGACATATTACTTGTTAATATGATTTACATTATTTTGGTGTAAGCACTGTAATCTTAATCTATCCTAGAATCAAAACATCTCCAGAGATTGTAGGGAAAGGAATGGCAGAACCTGGGGGCTGAGGAAAAAGATGGATCAGTCTAGAATCCCTACTTAGACATAAGAGTATTAAGTCTTGCCCTCCTCCCCCGTGCTGTTGACCCTTATCTAATTCTAACCAGGTGTTTGAACTTTAGTTAAGATTCCTGTGCATAGGCTTTTAGTAATAAATCAGCTTAATTGAATTTTCATGTATGAACCTGATCTTTCGTTCCTGACAGAGAAAGATATAATTTGAATGATATCAGAAAGGTGAGGCTTATCCAGACCATTCATTTGATGAACTTGATAGATTTTGACTGGGTGGGACAGTGATCTGATTCTATACTAGAAGCATTTCCTGTGTGAAGGGAAAACCTGATTCCTTCCTGTTAGCATCTTTATTCATAAAAGTTTCTCCAGTATTGCATATATGTATGTGTTTAATCCATGTGGTGAATTTAAATTTTTATAACTTAAATGCTTGGGTAAAGAGATTTTGAGTTTAATTCTCCTGCTAATGGATATGGGAAGAGGAAGTCAAGGGCTGAAATGGGTAGTAGAGTTCTTATGAAGAAGAAACACATCACACATGTGAATGGATGCAAGGTTTTCTATGGATTGGGAGGAGATGTTACCCCTTTTGATGTTTGTTAAATTGCATTACATGCACTTTAGGGCTAAGCCCTGCCTTAAAATGGTAGCAAATAAATCACTGATTTTGGGCTGTTGAGGTTGAAAGGGATTTTGAAAGATCTTAAAATCAAAGTTTGTCAGAATGATATGCAGCCTGGAACTAGTATAGAGGTAGTCCTCGACGTACACCCACAATTGAACCCAAAATTTCTGTTGTTAAGCGAGGTATTTGTTAGTGAGTTTTGCCCCATTTTACGACCTTTCCTGCCACAGTTGTTAAGCGAATCACTGCAATTGTTAAGTTAGTAACAAGGTTGTTAAATAAATCCAGCTTCTTCGTTGACTTTGCTTGTCAGAAGATCACAAAAGGTGACAACATGACTTTAGGATACTGCAACCGTCATAAATACGAATCAGTTGCCAAGGATCTGAATTTTGATCATGTGATCATGGGGATACTGCAACAGTTGTAAATGTGAAAAACAATCATAAGTCACTTTTTCAGTGCCGTTGTAAATTTGAACAATCACTAAACGAACTGTTGTAAGTCGAGGACTATCATACCTGTTTCTAAATCTGGTAAAATATTTATTGCATAAAACTTTACATGGATAAGGATCAATTCATTCAATGCATAAAATGTTATCCTCAGCTGCCAGAAAGGGGAAAACATTGCAATGCTTTTTATGGGTTCAAGGGAGCGTGACAATGCAAGTAGTACAATCTAGACAATTCTATTTAAAACACAAATATAATAAACTGAAAATTGACAATGGTAATAAGTTAATTTTAAATAAGAGATATACTGGACAAAAAAGCCATTTAAAACTATTTAATTCATTTTTTCACCATCTTATATTACCAAAATCTATATGATATTAGTGTTACATTTCAGGACATCTACAATGGTCAATAACCAGGGGAATCTGGCAGCAACCCTATTTCAATACTTAGTTCATAATAAATCAAGCTAATAGAGATTTTCTTTGACCAGCTTTCAATGTAACACCAAACTAGGGTTTAAAAACAGCTGAGTCCTAAAACTAATTCTCATGTTGAAATCAGGCAACAGCATTGCCTTACAATGCTGTTGCCTTACAGCAATAGTCCTACCTATTGTTTTTTTCTCTGAACTATCTCACAACTGCTGTTCTTGTGGGTTTTTCATCTCCAGAAGATTAAACAAACCAGAAACGTGAACGAAGGAAAGCTGAAAGATATGATTCCCTCCACTGAGCTCCTTCATGTAGGCCTGCTGAGCTCCGCTTGGAAAAGCTGCTGTCGTAAACATTCAGTACAATGGTGACTGCAAAGTTTGCTCCGGTTATTTGATCACAGAATCTTAATATGGTTTTGTTGTTTCTCACTGACCCAATTAACAGCTCCATTCAGGAGCTTTCGGTGGCCTACATTTACACAAAACAGTCAGGTGGAAGAAGGGAAATCAAATTCAAAACAATTCCCTAGAAAAACCTAAGGAGCTCTAAGGATAGGGAAGGCTTCTTTTTTAAAAAATGAAGGATAATTACAAGACTGACCTAAATACCGATATATCAAGTATGCAGTAATACTGGCAAATCGTCACCACAGCCATTTAAAAAAGAAAAAGGAAAAAAAAAAAACTACACTCAAAGCCAACATCCTTGTTGATTTTGAACAAACTGAAGCATGTATAAATTCGCCAATTTAAATAATTGACAGCTAGTGGAACTGGTTGGCATCTAGAAGACTGGAGTTAAAATGTACAGAATTATATTTGAGTAATGTACGGTTGGATTCCCAGATTGGTAGAAACTTAATAATTTGAGTCCTAACCAAGGAGCTAAACATTAATAAGGTAGTATCAAGGAATCTAGGCAGTTCCAAGCAGGGTGGAGTTTTTTTATTAAATGAGGGTACTCAAGTTCGATAAATTCAATATTTCCAGATATCAAGGGAGTCCTTTAACTATTGCTCCAAGGGCTCCGAATCAGTATTATGATGTCAGCCGGATATTTAAACTGGATTTGGCATTTTTATCCATCTATCCAGTCCTTTTTAAGGACCTGGATAGGTACTGTAGATATTGTTTAATAATAATATTAAAGGTATTGTGGCAGGATGTAAGCTGTTCCAACTAAAGCTGCCTTTTGCAATTAACCGATGGTGATTCTGTCAATGCCAATGGTGTTCAAATAGTATTTCAAATGTTTTGGGACTGAATGCAAGGTGCCTATTGCTACTGGTTTCACTCTCTTTGCTTTCTTTTACCATATTTGTTCTACTTCTATTTGCTTTACAGTATATTTTGCTTTACATTAAAATATTTGCTTTACAGTATAGTTTGCTATTTTCTCTACCACATTTTCTTCTATTTTGTTGGCTCTGGGTATGCAATGTCAATTTCCCAGTCTTTTTTATCTTTTTTAATAAACAATTATACAAAAGTATGAAGGCTATTGCTTAACGCATTGTAAGCCACCCTGAGTCTCCGGAGAAGGGCGACATATAAATAAAATAAAAAAATAAATAAAAATGGTTAAGCCTGGGGTATTGTTTGCCTGTTTGAATTCTAAAGTTCCAGAGCATTTTGCCTTTTGTCTTTTTTATTTATTTATCTATTTTGTAGTTCCACCTGTTCTTGTTTGCAGGCAAGTGGTATTTCTTCAAGATATTCTTATACACCATTGTTGCTACTTTGCCATTCCATTTTTTGTAGTCAGTCTCTGCAATCTTCCTGCAGTTATTATTATTATTGACCATTATTATAATTGACCCTCTGCCACAGACACATTGTGCTCTACAGAGCACATTTAATAAATCATGAATGGGGACAGGTAGAATAAGTCTTCCATCCCAGCTCCAACAACTTGGACATCTGTGCATGTCGGTTGGATGATAATTCTTACTATCATGCTGGCTGGAAGTGAACTGTAAACCAACATATTTTATAGCATCAGTTGTAGGAACAATGCTGAATTCAGTTTTTCAAAGTTCCTCTGAAAATCTATCATCCTATTTGTAATTTCTTTTCACTATTACGTTATGAAAATAGTATCCCATGTACGGTGTCTGAAAGTAGTGTTTGGAAGTTATCTCTTTAATCCTGATATTAAATTTCATGAACTGTGAACATTTTTATTATCACAATTCAAAAAACTGCATATTGCCAAATAACTTTGTCCTGGTTTACTTGTACAATGTAAACATTTGGGGTTCCCTATCTCCCTATACATATTCTGTAAATGTGTCAGAATACATTCTCAGAATTCAGATATGATCAGTAAGAAGTTCTCGTATCTAGTCAAACATATCTGCAAGACAGTGATTTGAAAGGCAGGTATAAATCATCTTCAAACTGGTTTAACCACTATGCTATATTTTATGTATTGGAACTAGATTCTATCCCAAGGGTAAGAAAACTAGATATAATTTTATACATAACTTAAGGGCTATGTTGAGAACAGATCATCTAAGAGGATATCAATTTATGGGGTCACAAGAATTGATCCAGACTTGACATAATCAAGCAAAAAAAAACCAAAAACCCATCTCCTCAATAATAATATACATGTTTGGTATACTTCAACTTCACATAAGATAGAAAGAAAAATAGTAGAAGAGAAGAGAAAGAACTGGAGATAAGTACAGTATGTGGTTATTATAATGATATAAAATGGTAACCAATAATTACATATTAATATTTCACAAAATAACTTGATTCAGACTTTTCAACATTTAATTATTCTCTGAAAATCTGCATATCTTTCCATTTTTCTATCTATAAAAACTTTCTGAAAGTATGAAGAAGGTTTCCAATTCAGTTTGGATTTGTTACTGTTTGAAAGGGTAGAAATCACTGCTAACATTAACATTTAGTTTGTGTTTGATACAACAATAGTTGAAATAGATACTCAAAGGAATGACTAAACTCATAAACTGATTAGTATCTATCTGAATACCACCCATGACTGAGGAAGTGATAACTAGATTATATGGTCTAAGGCAGTGGTGGGTTACTACCGGTTCTCCCCGGTTCTTGTGAACCGGTAGTAGAAATTTTGAGTTGTTCGGAGAACCGGTAAATACCACCTCTGCCTGGCCCCACTCCCAATCTAT